GACTTGGGAAGCTCTACGGGCATGTCCCGCTGTTCACTGCTGTCGAGATCTTGCGACGTTGACTTGCTGCTCTTCGGTTGATTGATTTCATTTTGATATTGGCTGGCCACGCCCGAATGTATTCGGTTTCGGCGATGCTCATTCCCGTAAGCCTTCCTTTGTCCCTTGGATGTTGTGACATCTTCCTCGTCTTCTTTGCTGTCATCGCTATCCTCATCCTCCATTGTAGGTTGGGCTGCCCCGAGGAAGCCCGGAGGAGACTCCTCGATATCCTCATCGGCAAAAAGTACACCGAACGACAGTCTTGCCAGCAGTTGTTTCGTTTCCTTCTTTATACCACTATCGCCGGGCAAGATAGTCAGGTTGCCGAGTCTCAGTGTCCCATCCCTGATTATTTTCACAATAGTATCCCCAGCGTTGGATATGAAGACTGTCATTGTCGGCAGGGCTATCAAAGACCAGAGCACGAAGAAGGATTTGGCGCCGTTGGAAACCGGAGTAATGTCACCATAGCCGATGGTCGTCAATGCTGTATAAGCAAAGTAAACGCCGTCGAAGTAACTCCACCCCTGGTATGGTTTCTCACAAGCCTGGAATATGCCAGCACCTACAAGCCAGAGAAGCAGCCACGTGCTGGTAGAGACGGCCATTGCTGTCCATCTCCTTCGTATAGATGCCTTGTTTTGTATTTTACGCATAAGCAAGAACTCCTTTCTACGCCGTTCCAGTTCGGCTTGCGGGATATTCTGGTGGTCCTTCGAGGAGGGGTATGCGTCGAACACTTCCCCCGCGATTGGCTCGAGTATGCCTTCATCCCCCTTTCGCGCAATCCGTCGGATCAACTGCCTCCGCTTCTTCTCGAGCATTCGGACGTCCAGTCGACGTTTTCCCCTATCAAGCGCGAGGGTTCGGATGGATCCGATGACCAGACCGAGACTAGTCACACCCACTAGGGCGTACGGCATCAGAAGGGCGCGTCCCAGCGTCGTCGACGGTGAATAATCACCGTAACCCACAGTGAACAACGTAACGTCGGCCCAGTAGATGCCGTCTAGGTATTTCCAGTTTTCGATATGGGAGAAGATTAAGGCGCCGACCAGAAGGTACACCAAGAAGGCGAGAGTCTGGAGCATCAGTGTCCGCTGGCTCATGGTAAGCTCGAAGTCTTTTCCGTAGTGGCCGGCACGCGCACCCATGACAGTGATGACCATGAGGGACGCCACGATGAAATACAAGACGGCAGCGTAAACGCCATAGTAGAAAGCCTGAGACCATATCCACACGATATCGTCTGCAGGTACCAAAGGCCCGCTTGCTGTGGCCGCAAGGGCGACCAAGCAGACGGCAGATATATACCATCCTACAATCGTGACGGGCTGGGCGATAGAGAACCGCACCTTCTTCGTCATGTTGAGCAGAAGGAATAGGTTAGCGACGACGGCGATGGCCAACTGCACGGCGTTCACGATAATGAGCCATGCAGGATCCTCGATGAATTCAGCACCGTTCATATCAGACCCGGGCGGTATATGTTGTCTCCATTTCTCCACCAGCGAGAGTATACTGAACGCCGAAGCCACCGGTCCCAGCGTGCCAGCTATCATGGGAAATGCTGCCGACGCAAACCACCATCGTCTAGTTGCTGTAAGTAAGCCTGATGAACGTGGCAGGGGGGTATATGGGATCATTCACGTAGGATCTAGATGCATGTGATCATTGTTGATGGCAGTATTGGGTTCGTCCTTGTCGATAGCCTGTGACTGCTCTTGAATATTCTCGCCAAGACCAGCATCGTCCATGATGAGGAATAGTTGGCCAAGAGGTAGTAGCTGTAGCTGTAGCTGTAGCTGTAGCTGTAGCTGTAGCCGTAGCTATAGGTTTGGTCAATGGATAATAAATTATTAATAAAAAGCACCGCATGAATAATTATGTTTTATAATCAGATAATTGCAAGTTCGACTCGGCGAACGAATGAAGTGAACGATACAGTCTCATGGAGATGATGCTGTCATCCTCCGAGATGTATAGAAGCTATCGAAAACCTGTTGCACGATGGGTTGGAAGATTGCCTGCCTCCTATATCTACCTACTTACATGTAGGCGGCAGTGGCATGTAGGGCATCTGCATGCTTGAAGAATGAAGAACCTAGGTGCCTAGGTAGTATATACTAGATACAGCACCTACATAGTAGTAGGCAACTCGACGTCGTATGACGTCGCCTGTCAGTCTCACTACCCGGGACTGCAAGAACGGCCCTAATGCAGTAGTTAGATGCTGTACTTGTAGTAGAGATGGATTTTCTCTAGGGCTGTTGGAGAATGGCATATGACATATTGCCCCTCCTGCAGCCCTCCCAATGCCCAAGGTTGCGTTGACGATCCCTCTGCTTAGGGGGCGTTAGACCCCACCAAGAGAGACAAAATGCCCCACTGGCCCTGTAGGTAGACTACCTAGGTGCACCCTTACTGTAGCTACAGCGTCATACATCAGATACTACATACACGCACCTCTACGAACTTGCCGCGTAAAACTTTCAATTGGACAGCCACCGCTGAACTTGTCTGTCGAACCTGCTATCGCGCATTGTCAGCTTCACGGCCACGCGGACACGCACTCACACGCACTCTACCTGGTAACAACGTGGAAGTACCTGCTAATGTAGGGAGAGCAGCTATTGTTTACCTACAGGAATGCTAAAAAGCCTAACCAATGATAAGCCACCTTTCACATGCTGCAAACCTCCCGAAGCTTGAGCTTGATCTCAGGAGGCAAAGTCCGACCATAAGATGAGAAGATGGTTTACAACTAGACCACAACTAAGTTGCACATTCCCTATCCGCCCCCATCCGAGAAGATGTGTGAGCATTCTCGCGGACCATGACCGTTATGTCGAGCGAGTTCGCGTTCGTTGCGCCTCGTCCGGCAGCATAGATATCGAGTGAGTTGTAGAAACATCGATCGTCTACCTATCTCCCCTCTATCCCTTCCCCCCTGGCGCATGCATTGTATAGGTATCCTAACTACCCCCTTCATCTAGTCTCCATAATATCTCGAAATGGTCTTCTTCGGAACCCCTGTTACTCTATCTACCACCGTATTCAGCAGCAGCCGTCCCCGAGCACGGAGATCCTTCAGACCTAGTACCGCCCCCCTCGTTCTGCCGCGGCCGTCCGACCGCCGTGATTCATTACCGATGGACCGGCTACTCTCCCTTTCACCCGGACACGGTTGAGGAGGTGGCGGCGGAGGAGAATGGGTCAGCGTGGGAGGGGAACGAGGAAGGGGAAGAAGAGGAGGATATGAACAAGCGCACGATGGCGAGGACGGCGACGACGCCGCTGCACTGGCCCACCCCCCTCCACGATGCGATGCAAGGATACGACTGGATCCTGAAGAACCTAGCGCCGCCGGAGTACAAGCGGCGCGACGTCTACACGTGCGGGTCGTACCTGGGCGCCTCGCTGGCGACGTCGATCGCGCTGACCGAGTCGTACCCGCACGAGCACATGGCCGTACGCGGGTGCGTCGCCCTGAACGGCATCTACAACTGGACCATGTTCCTGCCGGACCACCCGATCAACCAGCCCCCCAAGAAGAACAGGTCCAAGAACAAGGGCGAAGACGACGGCCACAGATCGAATGATCCGAAACCTCCTCTAGGCAGCAGCAGCAGCAGCACCCTCCGACCGCCCCCGGACCCAGCCGTCCTCAAGCTGAAGCAGCAGGCGGGCGCGCTGTTCTCGCAGCCCGACGGGCTCTTCGACCCGTTCGCGAGCCCGTGCCTGTTCTTCCAGACGCCGGGGCTGCTGGTGCCGCGGACGTTCACGGAGCCGGCGACGGCGGCCGACTACTACCGGGCGACGATGTCGATGGCGCTGGAGGACTTCCTGTCGCCGGACGACCCGCTGACGGCGGAGGAGTTCCTGCGGCTGGTGCGCCCCCGGGCGCCGCGCCGCAGCGCCGTCGCCTTCCCGCCCTGGAACTCCACCCTCAAGATCCCCGAGGCCCTGCTGCTGCACACGGCCGTGCCGGCGCCGCCGCCCTCGCTGCTGCGCCGCCGCCGCCGCCGCGCCAAGGCGCGCGTCGACGCCCTGGCCACCGACAGCTTCCGGGCCCAGGCCGAGGCCCTCGCGCGCGCCATGCGCCGCAGCGTCGACAAGGAGCTCAAGGAGCGCAGGCTGTGGGACCCGCACCTCGAGGGCATCCCGGCCGACGAGGCCACGAGGCGCGTGCAGGTTTCTGCGGTTGGTGCGGGTGGACGGAGAAGGGTTGGAGGAGGGGAGGGGGCGCAAGAAGGAGATGGGGAAGGAAAAGAATTCGGCTTCCCACCTGGCGGCGATGCGAATCGTTTCGTGCAAGACTGGTTGGAGGACCGCTTGGGGAGGTGAGAATGGGTTGGGACATCTATTTGTACGAGAGCCATGTGTATACATATAATGTTTATGAGTGCATGGGCCTACGAACTTGAACGGTGTTATATTGTATATCTACCTGCCTGAAGTCATGTGTCGAAGCGTTGAACAAAACATATGGTTCAGTCGAGTGCTCGCACGAGCTGCTGTTGATCCGAGCTGCCATTGGCTAGATTTAGGGGGGGGGGGGGGGGCACAGAAGACTCCAAGATGATCTGGCTGAGCTAGGGGTGGGCATTATGCGTATTATTCCCTATAATCCCTATCATTCCCATTCGAAATGGGTTTTCTGCCATGCCGTTATGGTATAATCAACATTCACTTACTCAACGTGAACCGCGCACTTCATATTAAATCATATTACAATGCGACACAACGATGGGGATTTTGATTAGGTAGTGTTTGCCCGGAAAAGAGTCTGTCTCGTGGTGTGCATAAGAGATCATTATGCGGGTATAAAAAGATATGCATAATTACTGATCCCCTAGCACTGAGCCACATTATTGGAGCACAAAAAGAAGAAAATATCTCAGCACAAGTCGGAATTCACAAGGACAACAAAGGCTAGACGAACAAAAAAAGAGAATCGACACGAGTAGGACTTGAACCTACGCTCCCGAAGGAATAAGATGATCCAGATGATGTGCAACTCCACTCTCAGAGAGAATGTGATGCTATATTCTAGTCTTACGCAATAACCACTCTGCCATCGTGCCAAGGTGATTCGGTTGAAAACTTTTGCGTATTTGTGCTATATGAGAGTCGGTCTGGAAGCAGGCCGGACACTACGAAGTACCCAGGTAGTTTTAGGTAGGCGGGACAACTTGGAAGCTAATCAAAATAGTCCGGGATCTGCACTAGTAACACCCGACTACGGTAACATCGTCACATGTGCCTTCACATGTAGACGATGGCTTTTTTTACTCTACAAGTCAGCAAGTTGTAGTAAGCCGGTTTGTAGAAGCCTATACAACATATGTGCACGTAAATATCTTCAATTGAACGTTTGTCAAAGTATTTCTCGGACAATACGCGTGCAAAAGCCACTCGGAGGGGCGGACTGTGGTAGATGGGGGGGGGGGGGTTATCGATACAATACCGAACTAGTACTAACTACATTAGCTTCGCTCTGATAAACTTCAACCACATTTTCAGGGGTTCCCTCCAGCAGCAAGGCCCGACGTATATTGCTAACCAACTTCCTCGACGACTGCTCAGTCTCATATTCTGTGACGTGATGATAACTCTTAGTTTCTTTCCTACCTGTTTACAGCATATCCATTATAAATAAGAGTCTAGCAGTGTGTTGACCTGTGAACGCGGGACGTTGATAGGCTCCATTTTTAGCATGTAGGAGTCGTGCCAAACATCACATTTTCTATTAAACTCTTCTTTATTACGTCGGAAGAACATTTTCAGCCCAATCCCCCCGTCATGGCCGACATTTACTATGTACTTACAGCTTCAAACTCAATTGAACCAGGACCCCTCCCTACATAGACCAAAGGGCTTCCCAGTGTCTAGGCATGCATGGACGCGAGATTGTACGGTGATAGTTTATAGGACTTCGAACAGCGATGACGAACATGTGTGGCTGGCCTACCTATATAGTAAATATAACGGCATATGAAATACCAGAAGGGTTTAGATGAAGCAATAGACTGCATTTTGCGCAAGATAAATACCCACATACTAGCTATGTGACGTAGAAACATTCTTCCTCCCCCATTTTTTCGAAATACAAAGGAGAGGGGCTATACCATTAAATGTGCATCTTGTGTGTTCTCCCCCCTGGGCCAGGTGACATGTCAATCTTTTTCCTCCACCTGTCCGCAACGATACTCACATCGCATGGCTGCTTTACCAAGCTATCAATACGGCGATGTTACTTGCCGCCAGGAATAACAGAGTAATACTTCACCAGCCACTGGCTAGTAATAATATAAAAGTTTAAGGTCTAAACGAGGATGGTTTCACACCCAAGGATAGTTTATATGTGTTCGGGGATGTCAACACCTTCGGTCCATTTGGTTCTAGGGTTGCATATCAGCATACTGGGCACGCGGAGAAAGGCAACGGGCCACATGTCACTTGAGGATCAATAGACTTACACCGGCTGAAGCTGTGCCTTGGTCAAGTGAAGATCTCCCCATCTCTTGGTTTCCAAGAACTGGCAGTCGTCACGTGTGCAAGGCTCGCGGATACAGTGGTGACTCAGGTAGCAATCGTAGTCAACACAATAGGGCCCTGAGGGACATATGCTGGTCCGGGCTTTGTAACGGTGGATGGCAAGTTCGGGTGCCGTCAATTCAGCGTCGTGGGTCTTGTCGCAATTCACGCCCCATTTGCACTTGCCCTTCAGGTAGAAATCGTTGCAGAACACCGACGGCTTTATGGATTGGAACTTGGCTTGGTAGGTCGCTTGCGCAGGAGTACGGGGTGGGTGCTGCGTAGGCGGGTCGACACGATAGCCATCTGCGTTGTAGTAAATAACCTTGGGCTGCTTCTTAGGCTTGGGGGCTTTAACTGTGACGTTTTGATGGTCGTTTGAACCCCCTGCCGTTGCATAGTTGATGGACGTCCCACCATTTCCGGAACTGATGACACTCGTAGTAGTGGCTGTCCTAGTTGGAGGCTTTGAATCCGCCGTCGCCGTGCTGAGTACTGGCGAAGGGGTACTGACACCGGTGGGGTTTATAGCTGGTCGTTGTTCCTGCGGCTGGCCGGGAGAGATGGCTGATGCTGGTGTAGAGGTGGGTAGTGTAGGCCGCGCGATTGGGCCAGGGCGAGGAACAAGCTCGGGACTGCTAGTTTGTGGCGGCGATCGTATTCCCATAGACACAGACTGCAGCTGAGGTTGTACCGGCTGTGCCGCGTGCCTGGTCTCATTGTTCAAAGGTTCTGACCGGAAAACATCACTAAAGCGGACGATAGGGAAGCCTAGGGTCCGGAAACCAGGCTCAGCATGAGTTGTCTCCACGAGCACAACCCTATCGTCGCCGATCCCATTGTAATCGCGGAGATCGTGCAAATAGCCATTGTCGTGGCAACACCCAGCAATGAAAATCTTTTTGCACTGGATGCTCCTATGATAGTGGCTAAGCATACCTGTAGGGGGTTGAGTCATCTCTATGCGGGGGAGAAGCGCCTAGTTGACGAATATAGGGCCGGGAGGGATGGAACATACGTCTTATTTTAGAGTCGGCGTTCTCCTTGCCTTTGCCGACATTGACAAAATCGAAATCAGCACGGGTATTGGTGAAACGTTCAGCGAATAGCCGCATATCATCGTCGGAATAGATGACGTGAGACAAGCGTAACGACTTAGACAAGTCATTCAGATTAGCATAAACTCGGACAATGATAGGGATATCGTCACGGGCGAAGTTTGTGCCACTGAGATTATCTCGAACAGCTTGTTTCAATCTTTGAGCAGCTCTCTCTGCACCCTCGATGGGGTCACGAAGGAACTCATCCGCAAATTTAGCGCCATCGCCATCGATCAGCACAACGACAAAAGGGTCTTTATTCTGGTGGGTTGTTAGTCGAGTTACGGGACAAACAGACTGGCAAACGACGGTGGTCCGATGAGAACACATACAACTTTCTGGTCCAGAGTCTGAACATCCTTCTCTAACAGAGAAGCTTTTGACTGATAAAGAGCTCGAGATCGCTTTTGATCCTCTAGATCCAACTCGAGCTCGGCTATCCTCTTCGCATCCGTGTCAATCCTCTTGATCATGCTCTGGCGTGAATAGGTCAGCTAGGTTGTACGGAAGCCCGGCGGAGAAATCCCCCTCCTACATGGATGAAACTTTGCCGCTCAGCATCGACCTGCATATAATGATTAAGTCGATTAACAGCATCCGAAGGCAAACTGTCCACAGCATGCCCTTGACTGTGGCCGTTCAGCATGGTGAACGATGAGGCCCCGGTGGACAACATGGACGAAGCGAGCTCTTATTTAAAATGCCGATAAGCCGTGATTGAGTTGAGTACGTGCCTTGATTAGAGTTAGAATGAGAGACAGCTAGATGAGCTAGAAGAGCTAGAATATAGCTAGAGGTACAATAGTGTGGTAGGTATGTTTGGACTTTGGACTTTGGGATCCGGCTGCCGAAGTGGGGGGTCGATGCGACAGGGCGTGGGCGTGGGCGTGGGCGTGGCTGTGGCTGTCAACCCGGGAAAACTCCTCTACGTTAGGGATGACAGATGCAGGTGTAGGAAGGCAACGAGGCGAGGCAAGGGTGTGCACATGTAGGTAGGCAGGCTGGCAGGCTACCCAGATAGGCATCAGACAGGTGAACATATATATGTATCCAGTTGTCTTCAGATCACTCCCAGCATTCATGCGATCAAAAACAGAGCAGCTGCGAGGCTCATCCGGGGGTAGAGAAGGGAGAAGGGGTAGATGCAAGTCTAGAAGTCTACTATACTCTAGATGCAGGCAGACCCTGGCTGCCGGGAAAGAGAGACCTTACGAACCTTAGATATCCCGTTTACCAGCGATGAGATACCAGGGACTTTTAACGCTATGTAGGCAGGGGATAATATTCATAGCAAGGACATCGGATTCAATGTTAGAAGCTGAGCTGGAGATGGCAAGATTTCCTAGTAGCAAGACGGCCCCACTGCTAATTACTTGCAGCACCCCAAACGAACGCTGGCACGGGCTCACACCAGCACGTGACATGCTCTTAGGCCCCAATTGTTGCATACATACAGCGAACTCCGTACAGCGTAACTAGGTGTACTTACCTACCTACATGTATACATCTCAAGATGGCATATGACGTTTGAGCCCTACAACTACCACATGTATTGGAGTTGGTATATCATCGTGAGAACCTCGACTTCTACTTCCAACATAAATATCGCTGTCTGTCTTTCTGTCAAGAAATGCTAGCATACTCAGGCAATAAGCATGTCTTGTCGCATAGCCCTAACCATACACCTCAAGTCCATTACACCACCAATAAACAGCAACATATTGGGTCTGGCCATCAAATCCTCCCGTGCATTCGCGCAACATCAGAGTGATACACTCGAAAAATAGCAAGATGCCCTGCAACACCACTTAAATCACTCCTAAATGCTCAAACTTGAGCTTCGGAGATAATGCTATATTCTGGACCACGATTCTTTTCCCGTACTCGGAAGATGCCGATCCTAAGGATGTCGGAAGGGCCACAGTTTCCCCTTTTGTGTACCTTCCAATGGCTCTTCTGGCAGTCCTGTAGGGAAAAGGTCAATTCCTTGCCATACACAGAATATTATCAAGTAACAAGCATACTCTGTCGCAGAAGTAAGCAGCAGCCCGCTCATTCTGGCATCCCCCACACTTCTTCAGATCCTTGCCATCTTTGTTGGTCTGTCCACAAGCGTGACAGCTAGGTTCGTGGAAATCGTGCGGGATACCTGGTCTGTAGCTAGCAAGAGCAGCCAGAAACTGTGCCTTTCCAGGTCCGCGAAAAGCATAATCCCCGGAAGGGACGAACGTGTCGCCACATCGGATCTGTGGGACAAGTTCGTAGAGGTGTCGGAGGTTGTCCGGCTTGATCTTGGCGCCAACTCGCATCATCAGGGCACACACCATGACGACCTTGTATTTGCTCTCTGTGGCGTGTATAGAGCAGCCGCAGTTTTCCCTGACATAATACTCCTGGAACCAGTCACTGCCTAAGCCAGCATCAAGCTTTCGGCGAAGCTGGACACG